GGGCAGTAGCATGGCCTAGGGCGTGATCGTACAGTGAAATGTCCTCCTTGGCAGTGAGCTGTAGAAAGAGGTGCAGGTCATCTAGCCAGGTGTCAAACTTCACTGGGCGGCCCTCAGCATCGAAAGCTAGCACAGGAGGGCTAGCCATAGTAGCAGTAGGAGGAACAGTAGCAGTGTCAGCAGCAGCAGTAGCGCGGTTGGTCAGGGCAGTGCGGCTCTAGCAGGGCAGGGCCGGGGCAGTCGTGACGGCGGCGGCAGTTGCTGCAGGCTCGGTGACGGCCGCTGCTGCAGGGACGGCGGCGGCTGCTGTTGTATTCTCGGAGGCGGCAGCTGCTGCAGGTCTGGCGGCGGCTGCTGCTGCAGGCTCGGCGGCGGCAGCTGCTGCAGGTCGAGCGGCGGCTGCTGCTGCAGGCTCGGCGGCGGCAGCTGCTGCAGGTCCGGCGGCGGCTGCTTTGCAGGTTCGGCCGCGGCTGCTGCTGCAGGCTCGGCGGCGGCAGCTGCTGCAGGTCCGGCGGCGGCTGCTGCTGCAGGCTCGGCGGCGGCAGCTGCTGCAGGTCGGCGGCGGCTGCTGCTGCAGGCTCGGCGGCGGCAGCTGCTGCAGGTCTGGCGGCGGCTGCTACTGCAGGTTCGGCCGTGGCTGCTGCTGTAGGCTCGGCGGCGGCAGCTGCTGCAGGTCGGCGGCGGCTGCTGCTGCAGGCTCGGCGGCGGCAGCTGCTGCAGACGAGGGCGAAGGGGACCGCGACGGGTCCTGGAGGGGCCGCGAAGGGCGGCGAGGGGCGGCGACGAAGCCGCGAAGGGGCGGCGACAGAGCCGCGACGGGGCGACGACGGAGCCGCGAAGGGGCGGCGACAGAGCCGCGAAGGGGCGGCGACTAGGCCGCGAAAGGGCGGCGACAGAGCCGCGAGGGGGGGGGGGGGCGACGAGGCCGCGAAAGGGGGGGCCGCTAAGGGGCCTTAAGCGGGGGTCGCGAGGGGCCAACGAGGGGCCGCGAGGGGACGTTAAGAGGGGGGCCGCGATGGGCCGTTAAGGACAGGCGCACGGGGCGCGACTAGGGTAGGCGCGAAGCGCGCTCCGGGCAGGAAAAAAAAAATTCGTTTTCCGTGGTGGGCCCTAGGAAACTTCCTGCTCTATACCATGTCGAGATTAGAGAGGAATGAATGATGATTAGGTTAGGGGAGGGGGTACAAGAGTATCGAGAAGTTTTGTTGTACCCTCTAAGAAATCACCCCTACACAACCTAGAACTAAATAATATGAAACATATAATTTGACATTCTCTTTCTCCCCCCACGTGTACTCAACCCCCTTCCTCAGCAAGTCGGTCAGCGGGACGGTCAGCTTCGCCATGTCGGGGACGAACCGACGCACGTAGTTGACGAACCCCAAAAAACTCTGCAGCTCAGTCAGATTCGTTGGCGCGTGCCAAGCCTGAATCGTCGCGATCTTCTTCGGGTCTATTTCCACTCCGTCAGCTGAAATAATGTGGCCTAAAAACTCCAGTCTGTCCTGTAGAAACTCACACTTAGACGCTTTCGTCAGTAGGCGGTTCTCACTCAGTATTTTAAAAACTGCTTCGATGTCCTGTAGATGCTATGCTCTGTCGGGGCTGTAAATCAGTATGTCGTCGAGATAAACGATGACGTACTTATCTAACAGTGGGCGAAAAGCCTCGTTCATCATCATCTGGAATGTGGCAGGGGCGTTGGTCAGTCCGAAAGGCATGACGGTGTATTCGAAGGATCCGTAGCGGGTACGAAATGCGGTCTTAGGGCAGTCGGGCGGATTGACGCGAATCTGGTGGTAACCCCCTCTAAGGTCGATTTTCGAGAAAACCCGGGCTGTGCGCAGTTGATCGATCAGTTCGTCGGCTCGCGGGATGGGGTAACGCGATTTGATGGTAACCCTGTTCAGTGCTCTGTAGTCGATGCACATGCGAAACCCTCCGTCTTTCTTCGGTGTGAACAGTATCGGTGCGGCGAAGGGCGACGAACTAGGGCGAATGAACTCCTTCTCGAGCAGGTAATCGAGCTGCTTCCTCAGTTCGTCCAGTTCGGGTTGGGTCAGTCGGAACTGTCGCTGTACTGTCGGCTGTGCTCCCGGTTCTAACTCTATTCTGTGGTCGTGCGGTCGCTGAGGTGGCAGTCCCGTCGGCAGGTCGTCTGGGAAAATCGCACTGTAGTGCAAGCAGTTTCTGTAAATCTCCCCCCTTGTCTGCTGCTTCGGCTTCCTGAATGTCCACCGCGTACACGTCAGCTCCTGCCGCTACGGCGCGCTTCATTGTGATCGCGTTGACACGCACCGACGAAGACTCAGGCGAGCCCCAGCGAGGTAAGGCGATGTTGTTACCGTTCACTCGCACGGTGCAGTCACCCGTCGTCCAGTCGATTCGCGGGTTGTGTCGTCGCAACCAATCCCGACCAAGTAAAATGTCGGTTCCATCGAGGGTCGTCGCGAGCATTTCCTGGCTAAACGTGAAGTTACCCCCGCATCGAATCCGAACCCGGTCTACGCGTTCCCGTATCGCCAGCGGCGTGCCGTCAACCAATCTTGCGTCGATCTCTGGTAAGCATTTCTCCAGTGGCAGTTTCAGTTTCCGTGTCGTGGCAGTGTTGATGAGGCTGTGGCTGGCTTTCCCGTCTACGAAGATCTTAACTAAGTCTGTCCCAATTTTCCCACTAAGCAGTATGGGGCTGTCTACCGCGGTACCCTCCTTATTCGGCCGAGTGTGGTCGACTGCGTGAACCGGCACAATCACTCGGTGAGGGTCGGTTGGGTCGGGCGAGCGGCGTGACCTGTCAGTAGAGGGCCCGTCTGCTACTGACTCCCAGCGTTTCCCTGCTGCTTGGTCTGTTTCTGCTGCTCAGCTTCCCCCTTTCCCTTAGCGTTTTCCGGGCATTCGCTCTTGCGGTGTCCCGGTTGATTGCACGCGAAGCAGCGCCCTTTGAACGGTGCGGCAGCGGCATTCGCGGCGACGGCACGTATCGTAGCGCCCTCGTTCGTCCCACGAGACCGATGTCCCCAGTTGCTGCTACTGCCGTAGGACCCCGGTCTCGGTCGGCGGAAGAAGTCGAGCTTCTCCGCCATAGCGAGAATCTCCTGAAAGTCGGTGACGCCGCGAAGCTGAATTTCCTGAGCGATGTCGTGCTTCAGGCCGCCGATGTAGCGGTCGACGCGCTCGCTCTCGTGCATGTATCCCACTTGCTCGCATAGCGCCAGAAACCCGCTGGTGTAGTCTTGGACGGAACCGAGTTGGCGCCAAGTGCGGAGCTTCTGTCGCGCCGCGATCGAAGCTGCGATTGGCTCAAATCGAGCGCGCAGACCTGCGCACCATGTGTCTCACGTGCGATATTGGGGCACCTCCACGAAATACGACGGCGCCCAGGGTCCGGTTTGTCCTTCCCGTGTCGGTAGAGTCGCGTAGTCGTTCGGCTTCGTGACGATGACACGCCACCAGTCCATGGCGGGTCCTCGCAGCAGCGACACGGCGTAGCGAATTTTCGCCGTATCCTCCGAGACGTAGTTGGCGTCGAAAAACACGTTCATCGTGAACAACCACGCCTGAACGGTAGGACCACCCCGTTGACTCGGGTCAAAGCATGGCGGACGCTGCGGCTTCAGCGGCATCGGTGACGGCAGTTCCGAATTGAGGGTCGGTGCCGAAATCGTGACGCGAGGTTGACTTGGGGCCGCATTCGTCGCTTCGGGGTGTGTCGCGCCGTGGTCGTCGTCTCCGTCGTTGCGGACGACACCATCACTAGCCGCGCTCGCGGGTCGCCCCACACTTCCGTGTTGCGATGTCTGTGGTGCGGGCGGTACCGGAGTGCCAGGTGCTTGAGATTGTGCTTGTTGTGCCCTCGTGAGGTCATTTTGCAGGGACGAGCGTTCTGCCGTCAGCGCCGCGATTTCTTCGGAACTTTCGCGCAGCTGTCGCAGCAGATCGTTCAGACGCTCCTGCATGAGGGTGGTGACGTCGATGTGTTCAGCCATGGCGAAGGGCGTCGGCTCAGCTTAGTCTAGGCGCAGTCGTGGCTGCACGCGTTTACGAGAGAACGCGAGGACAGCGGCTCCTAGGGGCTAAGGTGCGTGCGTCCCTTCGAGTGAAAAATCAAAAGTTGATTTCCTGGGGTGCGGAGATGCGCGGTCCGAAAAGGAAAGAAGCTCTGATAACCAAGTGTTACGGGTGCAATGGATCGAGGTAGCGAGGATTGCACTAGTGTGTCTAATGAGTACAAAGATGTGAGAGAAGGCATGAGCGAACATTTGTATGCGAACATGCAAACGGTAACGCGGTGCGTGCGAGCTAGCTAGTGCTACGCTGGCAGCGAGGTTCGGGCTAGTCCCGAAGCGTAGGCCGACACGGCCGGGCCAGCAGTGCGTGGTTTGGCAAAACAGTGCGCGCGAGGTTGGCGAAGTCCCGTTAGCAGTAACGGGCGAACAACGGCAGTGCTGTACGCGATGTAGCCGGACTCCGTAAGGAATGCCGAGAAAATTCCTTACAACTGAGCTGAAGGAGGAGCCAACTTGGCTGTGGATGACGGGTGAACCACTTCCTATCCTGTATCATAATCTGCTTGCCAAAGCGTACCCAATGGTTTTCAAGTTTAGAGAGTGTGAAAAGTACTGTCTTGTCAAGCATCCCTTCAGTCGGTAGAACTAGTTTGTCGCTGGCCACCGGATCGCCTTTGCCACATGATCCCGATGGATAGTTGTGAATTAGCTGGTACCGTAACATGGGCTTTGAATATGGTATGCACATGCTATGCCATGGGCACCAAAGACCCATGTATGGTTCATGAAGAACGAAACCACTAAAAGAAACGCAATGGAGAATCAGCAATAGTGTAAGGAAAAGAATGAGAGGTTGTATCAACAAAAAATTAGCAAAACAACAGCAGCTCTACCAACAAGACCCCATGAATGCTAGCACCCCGAGCACGCGTATTCCAATAGCCAGGCAAGCTGCAACATACAAAAAGAGGCGGCAGCCCTTACAGGCAGCCCTTAAGGCGTGGGAACCACAGCAGGGTAGTAGCTGCAGATGAACGTGTACCCAGTTGTCATGTAGAACGTGCAAGTGTGCGGTGTGGTCTTATAGCAGGCGTCGTTCCACGTGTTGCACGTCCATGAGCCCCCGCACGGGAATATACCGCAGCACATGCAATTGCCCATGCAGCTATTGTAGGTTTTAGTTCTGGCTGTGGAGGTACCGCCCAGACTTTCAGCACTTAGGCTGCACTGCCTGTCGCAGAACGTATTCCGGTAGTTGCAGCATGGTGCGGTATTGTTGTTTCCGTATCCCAAAGTGCATTCATCTCCTCCGAACCAGGTTGGATATGGGCAGATGGCTTGCGTGCAGCCAGAGGTGTTGAGCGGCTTTATCCCCATGCGGTTAACGCACCCAACCGCACACCTATCATAGCACAGGCTAGCATCGGAGACTGGGAGAGCGTAGTTGGCAGCTGCATCGCAGAACGACGGGTAAAGGACGTAATCCACTCCGCACACTGGGAGCGATGCCGCACAACCAGCGTCAATCATACCAAAGCCGCCGATACAGGGGATGATGAGGCTGGTGTTGACGGCGAGCGGGGCAGACAAGTCGGTGATGAAGTTTTGAGCGGCAATGGCAGCAGGGGATACAGAGAGTGCCGTGCAACGACGGAGGTAGAGGGAGGAGATGTTGGAGAGGGTATCGCCGGCACGGACGGTGTAGATTGAGTAGTTGGCGTTTGGGTTTCGCTGCATGGTGGTGAGGAGGGGTGAGTCGATGCAGACCTGCTGGCCCACCACCAGGTAGGGCGCCTGGCACTGCAGAAAAGGAGATTACCAAGAGAAAAAGAGGTAAGGAGGCTTGCGCTGCAAATGGAAGCGAGCGAGTGGCAAGGCAAGGAGGGCTGCAGAGGGGTGGCAGAGGTAGAGAGTGGTGGATTGTAGCACAGAACCAGTGTAAGGAATCAGGAGGTACCGAGGCAGGGGGGAAGGGCTGGAAAAGGTGGGAGAGTAGACGGAGAGGTGTGGGTTCGTTGAAGGGTGCTATGGGGCGGTACGTGAAGCTTCAAGGAAGTTACCTGGATGCCAGGGTTGATGGTGAGGAACATGGACATGGTGAGGTTGGCTCCATTCCAGATGGAGGGGCATGTGTCGCCCTGCATCACCCGGTACCACCCCGTGCAGTTGATGTTGGTCTGGGGACAGAAACCATAGGGGATATGCGGATGGGGAAGGTGGGGATGGGAAGGGCAGACAGAGATGAGAACGAAAGAGAAGCAAGATCAGCTGGTACTACCCGTGCAGTTGATGCTTGCCAGGGAACATGAATACATAGATTGGGAGTGGGAGAAGAGGAGGACAGGGGGGGAAGGGGGAGACTAAAATGCATGAGACATGGAATCACGCGGTTGGGATGAGATTGAAGCGAGAGGAGAATCGCCTGAAGAGTGGGAGCATGTTCTCTGTTCTTACGGAAGGTGCTGATGGTGCCACACAGACGTATGAGCCCACTGCAAGATTGCTGTTGCAGTTGACGCCTGGATTGAGCCTGCACAAGTGCAAGAGTGGGATTCCAGCGAGAGAGTCTGAACTGAGTAACTGTGGATATGTAAAAAACGAGACGTGGTGAACACAATTACTACTGAGGATGTTTTGCATGTAAGTGGGTATTACACCCCCCTCCCCCCTCTTCCCCCACCCACAAATTTATAATAAAAATAATAATAAAAAAAAAGGTGAACCGAGGGGAATTAAGAAGTTATGGATGCAAAACAGTGGTGTTCAGGATATGGAGAGTAGTTGAAATTGGAGTGAGGGTAGGACTTTTTAACTCACAAAACAAGTGGCAAGAGTTAAATATACTCACAGGGCAAATGTTGCACCGTCGACCGAGTATTTTACAGCGACAGAAGCACAGTTGTCTCCCATGACCACCACGACACTTTGCCCGCACTGTAGAGCCGACGATGTTGTCGATGCGGTGACCATTTGAAGGCATATTTGCTGTGACTTGAACAAGCGCTTGCACGACAAGCCAGGGTTGCTTGCCATAAGGGAAGTGAGGGATCCGTTGAAGAAAGTGTTTGCTACAGAAGTGCAAGTGTCGGAATGTCGGACAGTGTATGTGTTGGTGCAATATGAGGATAAGGAAGTCACTGCTGCCGAGACTGTAAGAACAATTCCTGGAGGGAGGTATTCTGTAACGGAGCAGTTGATGAAAGTGTTGAGGCTTGCCAGCGTGGTGGTCGAAATGCCGAAAGCTGTCGCGACATACGTGCAGTTGTCGCCAGGGTTGGTAACATAGGACTTCGCGAGGCCAGCTGCAGGAACGCACGTCGGCGAACCGTCGACAGCTGCGCCAATGGCGTAACCCGCAGAGCACGCGCATGTGTACGTCCCGTCACCCACATCGCTGCACGTTCCGCCGCCGCAGGGATTCACTGGAGCTGTCGTGCAGGGACTTCGCGGCACGCACTTGGACGTGGGCAATCCCAGCATCTCCACAAAATTCGCCAAAGCGCTGCAGTCGCACCGCGGAACTCCACCGCTCACGTAACAACTGCCCCCACCGCACGGGTTGATGATCCCCGCGCATGTCGTACTCAGCATGCTCGTAATGAAATTGTTGATGGTGGCGTTGTTGGCGGTGGTTAGAAGAGAGAGGATGGAGGGGAAGAGCGACGACGAGAGGTCGTCCTCCCTGTCGATTTTCCACCTGCCGCGCTTGTCGGAATAGAAGCGCGCCGGCTGCTGGCTGGATGGGAAGTAGGCGGGATACATGGCGGGTGTTCTGCGCAGAAGAGGGGATGGCGAGAGAGGAGCAATTATGGTGGATTAATGGCAGCAATGAATTTCGCACCCGGGAATCGGAACGGCGCCGCTCTCCTTGGAACTGACGGAACAAAATGCCTCATAGGCGCGACGGAACAAAGTGCTTCCTAGGCGTGACGGAACGCAATGAATCCGAGGCGCGACGGACGCAATGAATCCAAGGCGCGACGGAACGCAATGAATCCAAGGCGCGACGGAACGAACTTCTTCCAAGGCTCGACGGAGGGGGCGAGGAGACTGGGAGGAAGACTCAACTGTCAGAAATACGGGGAGAGGGGAAGCGAACTCGGAAACATACGATAAGATGCCGCATTTCCCGCGCACGTCGGGCGTCATGGCGAGGTACATGTAGCCGCGGTCGCCCCACGTGGCGTACCACGAGTTCTTGATGATCCAGTAGCTGCCTTTGAGGTCCGGCCCCGTGTAGTTAAAGCCCACCACCACCACCACGTGATTCACATCCGTGGTGCACACCCCGTTGTAAATATTAATCCCGTTAAGGTTTGAGTACGCCTGAACGTGGGAACAGGGGCCGACAGCGGGAAACGCGGAGAGTCGCGCAGCGAGTGAGCTGGGAAAAGGGGGGAGTCGAGAAAAATTACGACTCGTAGCGGGGATACGCGGGAAGGCGGAATAAGTGTGAGCTGCGAAACGCAAGGAAGCGCGGGAAATCGGGAAACCGTCGTAAGTAGGGAGACGCGTGAAATCGAGAAACGGGTGTGGGCGGGGGGGAGCGAGCAGGGCGCAGGGCGCAGGGCGGCGTACGGTGAAGTCGGCGGCGGAGGCGCTGATGAAGGCGACGACGGGCTGCATGCTGACGGCCTTCATGAGCGCCATGGCGTTGAATGCCGGCACCAGCTCCCACCCCGTGATCTGCGCCGCGGTCGGCATGGATGTGTCAAGCAGACACGTGGCGGAATCGTAGGCGAGGTAGCGGTAGTTGTCGTTATATGTGATGCCGCCGTTGAAGAGCACGTAGGAGAAGGCCCACTCGGGCCACCCGCCCTGGCAGCACTGCTTCGTCCCACAGTCGCACACCTGCTGCGCCGACAGATTCGTCCCGGTGCCGTTGTTGGCGATCGCCCACATTATGGCGATGGAATCGACGGCCGCGATCGCCCAGCAGCTTGAGCACTGCGGAAGGGAATTGAAGAAGGAAGCGACGACTCTGGGCTGAGTAATCAACGATTCGAGAATGAATGCACAGCAATCCTATCCCTGGCTGCTAGCAGATATCGAGAAGCAGACGAGCGTGAAGCAGCGAGCCGAATAAGTTCACGCGGCTGAGCTGACGTCTACTGCAGCAACGCACCAGACGACCGAGGAGGCGCGACGCACCACCTAGTACGTATGATGAGTCAACTTTCAAAACACACCCGCGGGCGGAGTACGCACCACAAATTGCGTCTGGACGGCGGTCATGGCGACGGTCTTCCGCCAGTCGACGACGGACGGCGGCACGACGCTCTCCCAGCGGTAGAACGACATGTTCACCGTCGCCATGCTCGGCCCCGAGTTAAGCGGCGGCGCTGACAGACCGAACTTCACTCCCGTGTCCACCAGAACGCGCCGGCCACCCTCCATTTCGCCGAGCTCCGCCTCCAGAATGCGATCCGTGTGCTGCCGCCACTGGTCTTCCGGAATCTCTCCGTTTTTTTGCAAAAATATTTCATACTGCGACGGATTCACGACAGGCGTGCGGGCTTCCTCAATTGAAGTTAACGAGGCGTGAACTTCCAGAAGGACTAGGAGCAGAACCGCGGCGAGGTTTCCGTTTCTCGTCTTCATTGTCCCACCCACTCGGTTGCGGGAAGATGGGCCCTTCTAGAGTATCGTTAGAGTATCGTTACCGCTGACTAATGCGCTACCTGCTGAAATCGAGTCGCCTCAAAGGCTCCAAAATCTGCCTCAATGCGGAGTTTTTAGTTCACACAAGGCTACAGAGTTTGCACGCAAACCACGCAGGACCCTCTTGGCCGCTCTGTTGCTGACAGATCCGACCACTAATTTTTCCTTTGACTAAAATACACACGTGCTTTCGGAACGAAACGCGGGCTTTGAGTTCCGTTCGCGAAGGAAATGTGCGACTAGCCTGTGGGTCTAAGCGGAGTTAGGTGGACAGCTCGACTGATGAGGCAACCAGGCTGGTTGTAAGGCAGGCCTTTATCGCTCTCGTTGCAAACATTACTGCTGGACTTCGTGAACAGTGGCGATTCGAGCGCAAAGAAAACATTGACTTCCTCTTCCATCCCAGAGATGGTCCAGTCAGCAAGGGCGATAAGGTGAGCAATGATTCGCGAGTATCTTTGCTCTACTGGTGAGCCTGAGGAAAAAAAAAGTGGAGATTAATCCAGCGAGGAGAGATGAGGAGAGGGACGGGGCTCAGCGGTTGTAGTGTATGATCCTAGGAGGAGGATTAATGCGATAGAGAATGTCTGAATGCATGTGTTTTCTTGTTATTTTATCTAGCCCTCGGACCAGAAAGTTCCGCGGGTAAATAACTCGTAAAGTACAGGTGCGATGTGAGGAAGAATACTAATTACGGCCTTATCAGGACAGGAAGCTTAGCGGGGGAGGGGAAGGCTCTGTGAGGGAGGGACATAGGGAGCGATTCGAAGAAATCGAAGTTAACAACGACGACGACCACAAACCAGGCCAACTCAACAATCCCAAAGCAGTCGGAAGTACAACAGTACAACAGTACAAAGGGTGGAGTGACATGCGGGTGAATCTTTCCGTAGCTGCGGTGGAGTCGCAACAGTTCAACCACGTTGGCAAAGCGCTGGTTTGAGTTGGGGTTCAGTCGATCGGATACAGAGGAATGATATAGCGTGGCTTTTAGCGTCCTTTCCTAGGTCATTTCCAGTCAGAACAACACGCGCCACGCCACGACCAGGGCCGCCTAAGCAAGGGCATTTGCCGAGATGCCCAGGCACGAGCAGGGCAGGGGAGTGTTAAGGCGAAGCCCTGCACGCGCCTGGTTTCGCGTGTAGCAGCCCTATGCGGACTAGCGAGATTTTGCAAACCGCATATCGGTTTCGCCTTACCGCATACCTGTGTTGCAGAATCATTCGCCAAGTACACTCCACTGTGTGCACTTTAGTATGTGCAACTATCAGTGTTGCAAGAACCTGTGCAACTACTCCTAGGCAGGTGGAAATATACCTGCTGGTATATTCACTTGATGGTATTTTTACCTGGCGGTGCCAACCTGTAGACCGCATACTAGAGTAAGTGCTTGCACGTTCTCCTTGAACAACGTTCTTCATGAACAACGTTCGCATAGAACGTTCTTGCACATGTCACCTCCTCTATAAGGTTCAGGTTGTTCCTGTTGTCTATTGTTACGGGTGCAATGGATCGAGGTAGCGAGGATTGCACTAAGGTGTCAAACGAGTACAAAATGTGAGCGAAGGCATGAGCGAACATTTATACGCGAAACATGCAAACGGTAACGCGGTGCGTGCGAGCTAGCTAGTGCCTTATATCGCGGAAACGCCGGCTCCTCAGGTACACTTGCAGGGCAGGGTGGTTTTCAATGTTGGCCAGGGGCACCCAGCTATCCTCAGTTGGCGTGCGGTCCTTCTAGCAAACGAGGAACTCGATCCGCTTGATACCGGTGGGGTGTCGAATCCGATGGCTCAGAATCTTCTCGGGCTCGATGATCGGCTCCTATTCAGGGCGAGTCATGGATGGCGAGCAGTGACGAGGCAGTTGGCTTGTGGCTGGAATGTAAGGGCGAAGAAGCGGAATTCGCAGCGACGGCACGTATCGTGGCGCCGCGAATTCGCCGCTCCTCGTTCTCCTCAGTCTGTTCTTCCCCGTCCGCCTGAATCGTCCCTTACTGCCTCCCTGTCCATTCCGGTCACTGACTATTACCGTACGTACCGTCCCACTCTCTCTCTCGTGTTCTCGCCTCTCTTGTTACAGACCCTCGTGCCTCTCCTTCCTCCGTCGCGGTCCTCACTGCCGCTGTCACTGACTTTACTGCTACGCGTCGCCTTGACTACGCCACTCGTGTTGTGGCCGCTCCTCCTGTCCGTCCTCTGTCCGCCGGGGGTGAGTCTGCCCTTGGTTGTGACGTCCTAGAGGACAGACAGTTTGAGCTAGAGTTCCTGGCAGCTGCTTCGCCTCATCTCTGTGCCATGCTCCTCGCTCCTGAGGGAGACCCCGACGCTCCTGACATACCTACTCCTCGCACTTACGCTGAGGCAGTGTCAGGGCTGTCGGAGTGAAAGGCCCCGCCCTCGCTTGGGCGCAGGCATTCTCTGCGACGACGTGGTGAATTCGACGAAGTGATCGTCGCATTGGATCAGCCCGTCCTCTGAAACCGCGGGTGGTTTTCGAGGAAGGTTGTCCTCTGATTCACCAGCCCATCGACGAGCTCTGGTCGACGGGGTGCTGTTCGACGAGCTCGTCTTCTGATCTGCTTCTGGGTCGCGCGATCTCTGACGGACGGGGTGCTGTCCGAGGAGCCGCGTTCTCTGATCGAAGGGCGCTGTTCGGCGAGCGTCAGCTCGGCGAACTGGTCGGCCGAATTCGCGCGACTGCGAAACTCTGTGAGAGCATGCGAAATTCGCTCAGGTGGCTCTTAGCGAAATTCGACCTCCGAAATGGCATCACGTGCTCAACGGTGGGCATCTGGAGAAACCGTCGGAGCGTTTTCTATCTGGCACCTGCGCAATGTCTCTGACGGTGCAACCGTCTACCTGCACCTACTCGGCAGGTGCACACCTGCGCAGATATTCACCTGCGAATGCAGCGCTGGCAGGCCGCCCTGTTGCAGCGCTGGCATGTCGCCCTTCTGCTACGCTGGCAGACCGCTCTGTTTCAGCGTTGGCGAATCGCTCTGATGCAGTGCTGGCAATCCGTCTTGCAGAATGTTTGCTAGGGATTGCAATGCCATTCCAGAGATATCACTTTGCATGCTCATTCTTGTACTCTAATTCTCAATTTTCAATGTTCTTTCAATTTCCTTAGTGGAAACTCTTGCCAAATTCCTCTGTGAACACAGCAAGTAGTACGAACTCTGTTAGAACGCTACTAGAGCGCTACGATCACCCACACAACTCCGTGCCCTCCTTCGTAGTTCACACCCGTTGTAGGGTGACTCTCCGCATGGTGCGGTGAGCGTGGAACGGCCCCGCGTTAGAACCTTCAGAGTAGCCGACTTTAGTGCTCAATACCTAAGTTGTTTTGGGCCGGCAGTCTAAACCGCCATGGTCGACCAGGAGGAGGTCGCTGCAGTCGTAGAGGATACCCTGCAGGCGCGGTTAGATGACGTTCGGGCACGCCACGCAGCTGGCGAGTACGGCGGAGCAACCTTGGAGGTTATGCTCTTTGGAACCCGCGTGCAGTGGGCGCGCGAGCACCCAACGACCCGTACTGAGGCGGATGGTCTGCCCGCCACACCCCGACCGGCGCGCAACGAAGGGGACGTCGACGACCAGGTCGACGGTGGTAACCAAGTCGGCAGCGAAGGCAGCACGAGGCTTCGTGGAGTGATTCGGGCCGCTGACTTTGGCGTCGGCGGAATGCAGGCACGAGTTCAGCGCCCAGCGGCAGCAGGAAGTTCGAACGGCAACATCGATGGTCGACGCCTTTCTCCTCAGCGGAGTGGAGCCAGGCCGACATCGGCGACTCATGCGTCGGCTGGTCGCGACGGAGGCATCGCGCCAGCGTACGGCTACTTCAAATTTTCGCCGGACAAGATCGCTGTGCCGCAGCCGCTCGAAGGACGACACGACTTGATCACATGGATTGAGTCAATCGAACCCCAACTGGAGATCGCTGGATTGAAGAAGTTCGTTGACGGCAAGGTGGAGATGCCGGACGAAGACGACTCTGAAATGTTGGCGGAATTTCGCGCTGCTCACCTTCTGACCTTCATGGTCATTTCGAGGTGTTGTTCGCCGCTGGTGCAAGTCGCGCTGAAGCAGTGCCGACTTCAAGTGGACGCCGGCTACCAAGCGTGGCAGTACATCATGCGCACCTACAGAGCGACCGACGACCTCTACATCAGCCAACTGGAGAAGAAATTGGCCACCATTCGCATGGGCGAGCAGGAATCGGCGACCGAGTACTGCAATCGAGCGCGGCGAATTTTGGCCGACATGCGGATGGCTGGTTTCGAGTACTCGGTGGCGTCGTATGTCACGCATGTCATCAACGGCCTCCCCTCGAGCTACAATCTGATGCGACGGATGCTGATAATGCCCGGCACGCGCGAAACTCTGAACGAGGATTCGCTTTCGAGTCACATCATCCAGGACGAGTTTATGCAGGAGTCTGAGCGGTCTTCAGAGCTCCTTCCGCAGGCTAACTACGTTGCTCCGACGAAGCAGGGACGTCAGACGGGGCAGCGTGGGAAGTCGGGCGGAGGTGGAGGCGGTGGCGGAAAGTCGTCGAAGTCTACGGAGAGCGCCGACCGCGGAAAGTCGGCGAAGGACAATGATCGCGGAAGCAGTGGTTCGCGTCGAGGAGGACGCCGCTGCTACATTTGTGGAGACCGCGACCACCTCTCCTACGACTGCCCTGATCGCGACGAGTCCGACGACAATCAGAGAGGGAGCCGCGGAAAGTCT